GGCTCGGTGCCGCCCCGGGCACTATTAAGTGATTCCTAGAGCTGAGCCTCACGAAAAAGCAGATGGAAGGGGGGGAAGGTGCTTTCAGGGTATGCCTCAAGTGAAAGCATCCAGCTTCTCTGGGTACTGTTTGTAGGCAAAATATACCTCGCATCTGGGATGGTAAAATCATACCTAATAAGTTTATGTGGCGTATAGGAACAGGTAGAATTACAGAATATCGCTGTAAAGCAGAGAGGTATGAGTGCACGTTAACAGTGTCTCCCTCAGGATCAAGGTCAGTGTGGAAGCACATGTGAATACCAGTTACAGTAAGGCTTTAGTGTTAGATTGCTTCGTGAGCTAAAAAAAGTATTTTCATATAAGCTTTAATTTGTTTTAAAAGCAGTAAAACGTGAGCAATTGTAAGAAAGACTTGGAGCTGTGTCCTGTGATTCTGAGCACAGAGCAGCTGCTTTGCAGTATACAGCAGAAGCACGTTTATGTGGATGTGCCTTCTACAGCTGTGGTTCTGTGAGCATGCTGTCTGCAGCTGTGTAGAGACTGGGAATCAGGAACTAACAAGATCTGATGTCCCTGCATCCCAATGCAGGGTCTTCTGCTTGTGTAAAAACTACTCTGGTCTAAAATACTTAAAAAAAAGGTACTGCTTTCAGCTAGATCCTGCCTCTAAAACATAAAGTGTCTTTTCTGATTTATGTTCAGGATTTTCTTTCTAAAATGCAGTAATTCGTGAAAGCTACTTTAAAGCCGTGATATCCCCAAAAATAAAGAATTACAAATTTTTGTAGTGTGATTTTTCTGTGCGTAACTTCTTGTTTCTTGAAATTAGGGCTTTAAGAGAAGCATCAAATAGGAGTTTTATGATAATAATTTGGAGTTAGTAACAGTGCAACATTTCCGGTTACTTTTCCCCTCTAATGTTTTAATTAATTCTGAGCTGTAGTACAGAATTTAATTAATCTACTTTTGCTATATTAATGTGACTACCGTAAATTCAAAACTCTGATTGGTTTATAGGTGCTCTTCTAGTGGTACAGCTCTTGGGAAGACCGTGGAAAATTCAGAAGGTATGATGTCTTAATTACTAGTTTCTTGCATATGTTGTTTTAATCTCCAAACAACATAGTGTGTCAGGAGATAAAGAAGACATGAATGCCCTCTTTCCCCTTCTTGGATTTTCTTTCCCCCCATCTTCATTGTGCAGAGATTTCCTGGCTTAACTTGGTTACCCTCACCACCAACCAGCTCTGTGCTCCGAGAGCATGGACTGAGTTGTCCAGTTCCATGAGCTGTCCAGTTGCTCTTTGAAATAGAATGAACTATGAAATAAAAATAAGGAGTTTTTCACCTTAATTCTGACAGTTTCCTTCATGTTCTTGCTTCTTCTCTGTACTTCTTACCATATTTCTGCTGCAAGTTTTGTGAGAAACGTAATCTGGGATGCTTGGAGCCGACTGCACATGGGAACAAGTTCCTGCCAGTCAGTAACAGCTCATGGAAGCATCAACACAGAGGTGGTGGGAAAAGTGCCTCTGGAGACCCTGGGGGTTTGTTGTCAGGAGGTCCCACATGCTCCTCCGTGAATGAATTTGCTGAGGGGTTTTACTGAGAACCTCTAGCTTCTTCTTTTGGTATTGTCCTTTTTCTTTTTTCCTTTCTGGGAAAGCTGGGAAGATTGATCTGTGGGGTGGAAGGAACTGAGCAGTTGGTGTCGGGCTATTGGAGCAGGAACTTCAGAGGGCACTTTGCCACAGTATTCAGGCAGGCTGAACTGGAAAAGCCAATTGGGCAGAGATGGCAAACTTCAAACTGGAGGACTAAAACTAGTAAAGCGAGGGACTGGGAAAGGTTGGGGCTCAAGCTAGAAGATATAGGGTAAGGTTTGAAGAAGCTTGAATGGGTAAATGGGTACAATCTCTTTGACGTTTGTTTCCCATTGGGCCCTGATCCTGCCTGGATACAAGACACTTAAGCTCCCTGCCAGCCTTTTGTATTGCCATTGCAATGAATTGTGGCCTACATTAGACTGTGTTTTTAAAATCTTTGCTTTAGTACTTTCAGCTGGATCAGCTTAAATCATCAGTTTTCATGAGGTCAAGATTTTCTTTGGGCATCTGTTTGTTACTAATAACAATTTTAATATTGTTTCTCATAGTTACTCGAGAAGAAATTGTGCTCCCACGAAGGAAAACTTGGTGAGTGTTTACTGCTGGAATATCTCTACAGACCTGGAAAAAAATTATTGTTAGCTAAATGTAATCTGTCCACCAAAGCTGAAAAAGAAAATTCAAGTTGTTGTATTCCTGGATTTAATGTCCCACTAGTGGCTTTCCTGTCCACCAAAGCTGAAAAAGAAAATTC